CCTCAGAGTCGGCCAGCGAAACAGCCCTTTTGTTCGCTTGAAGCTACACACGCGAAGTGCCGCGACATCGATCTGCCCCTCGGTTTGTTTTATTTTCTTTCTTTCTTTTATTTTGTTAAAGTTATCAGTCTGTTAAGTTACACTGGACTAATTCAGGAATGACCAAGTTCCATTTTTAAGCTTTTTCGTTGAGCCAACTTCACCGAAGTCTGACCAAGCCACGTGTTCTCGCCAGCGGCAACGAAGGAAATCTGAAAACAGCCGAATTGCCAGATGGAGGACGCCGTTTTCTTCAGTCAGACACTGAGAACCCCGGAGAATCCCTAGCAAAAAGCCAGGATCGGGCAGCTAGCGTGGGACCGGTGCAACAGGCCAAAGCAGGCCGTCAACAAGCCGTAAGACCTAACCAACATTCTGTGGTCAGAGATTTCCTTTTAACTCCTAAACTCATAGCGTTAGCTTACTTTCATTAGTTCTCCCATGCCGTATGAGTCAAATGCTTCCCACAATCGAACCTCCAGGCTCATTGTTCAGCAATTGTTTATTTTCCCTTTATTCAACCATCCTTTTTTTTTTATCACATTAGTTAGAGAATAAATTCACTGTAATATAATCAAGAACTGTGTGTGTTGCCTATTTCTATGTCCCTGCAAAGAGAATTGACCCTTTAGATATGAGACTGACTGATTGATTTAAGATAATTGAGCGATTATTAACTAACTGATCACTAGTAATAATTGTATAGTTATTAAAACTACCTAGAGGTCCGGAGACTCAAGGATTATAACAACTCCGGTGGTGCCCTTAAACGAGGAATAAAATTTGATTTTATGAATATTAAAATTCATAATTTGGTATTAATTCTCATAAATGTATTAAAATGCATAACAAATCTAGGTTTGCTACAATATTTAAGGGGGTGGGCGTTAGGGGATTGAAGTCAGGGTCGTCTTTAAGTTTGTATTCAACAGAATACCTTATTATCTCCTTTAAAAGTACTGAAACAAATGTTTACGTGACGTAAGTTATTATTTTGGCAGGTAAAAAATATGTTTGGCCGGTGGATTTTTTCATCTACCAGTCCCATTGGCAGGTGAGCCAAAAATAAAATTTCCACCGCTGGTTATGTATTGTAACTCCAGATTCTATGAGTATAGGCGCAGCACTCTGAAGCTTGATTTATACTCCTCTGTCGGGTCTACATGCATAGCTACGCCATAGGCTACACACGTAGCCATGCATTTATACTAGTGCATCGGTGTCTCTGTCATTCTGCAATTATACTGCCAAACGCTAGTCGGCGGTAGCGCTGTGGCGTCCACTGTGTTGACTTTTGCTGGCCGAGCAGGCTAACTTACGATTGTGGGGACTAAATTGTATACTTGCGGCTGGGATAGCCTTTTCAAATGTTATCGACCGAATGGATCACGTTCTGATAGTGAAACGAATCATTTCGCTTGGGTTGTGATGGTCAAATATTGATCCACTGTTTATATTGAACAGCCATTTTGGCCGCTAGTCAAACTTCCTTGAAAGCACGGGGCACTTCCTGTCTGCTCGGAAGCATAGCGAGGCTACCCAGCTGACCAATCACAGTGTTTATGGTCCTCGTCGCCTTGACGTGTATTTACATTTTTGAGGAGGTGCACGTCAGGCGACAGCGTAGGCTACGGGGCTACATAGAGGCTACACCGTCGTTATAAATTACACTTAAGCAGTGGGCCTCACTGGACCTTGGTTCTCAGAGCTGAAAAAACGTCTCACTGTTGTATATACACAAGGTACGGACGTAGGACAGGGTGGGCGTAGACAACTTTTCTCAGTGCTGCACAGGTGCGCATAGGTGTAAACCCAATAGCGATAGCCTTAGAGGGCTGCGCCTATACACATAGAATCTAGAGTTAAAGTACGTAACTACCATTTTCTTTGGAAATTGAACCATTTACGTTACAACTTTCAACGCATATTGCTTGATGTTAATACAATTGTGTAATGTAGCTGCTTTGTGTTAGTTCGACCATTAATATATCAATATGTTTTTGTTTTACTTTCCTTTTAATATTTAATGTTTTCTGGACAGTGTTAATGGCTCTCTATGAGTAGTGTGCACTCTGAGCAAAATACATGATATAATGTTAAAGGAGACCTACTATACTGCTTTTCCAGTCCTATATTGTAGTTCTGTGACTCCTGTATGGCAGATTTGCATGATTCAAAGTTCAGAAAAATATATTTTTCTTCATGTAGGCCTTCATTTCACCCTCTGTCTGAACAAGCTGTAGATGCTGCTGTCTCTTTAAGGCCCCCCTCTCAAAGCCCGCTGTCTTCTGATTGGACAAGACCCAAGCATGTTACCAGGCTGTTGTTGTTGCTGAGGGTTGCCATGCCATTAGTGTGGGAGCACATGACCATATATGGAACTCTGGCTCTGTATTACCTAGAAAGGAGCTTTTGGTAGAAAAAGGAGTTCAAAATAGAGCGTTCAGAACAGGAGGAAACCTGAGGTTTTTGCTCACAGTGATTTCTTATAAATGCTTTAACCTAATTTTTTGAAACTTTGGCCATGTTTAACATGAACATCCAACATTATAACACGGTAGATAAGTCATAAAATATGGAAAAGCATAATAGATAGATAGATAATTAAAATAATGTATTTGTAATGTATTTTAAATGCATGAAGTCGTTTCAGTTTCCTTTTGCACTGCTGAGGGAAGCAGAGTTGCAGTGTATAAGTCAAGTTATTTGTTGTTCTACATAGGCTAAGCAAACGGTGGCTAGCATTAGCTCCTGAAGTAGTATGGTAGGATTAGCATTTTTCTTTGGATAAAGTAAGCTACTGTGTGTTTGGCTTTATTAAACTTTTTTTTGTAAAGCATTTAGCAAGGGCATAGGTACGCATTTGCCTTAATATGTTGACTATGACGCTCAGGTTAGTTATTAGTCCAAAAGAAGATAAAATAAAGATATCGTTTAGCCTGTTCGGTGTAGCTTTTTCACACTTAAACAGTGTGCAAAGACTGGCTGTATGAATTCATCTTGGTTGAATTGAAGTTTACGTACTGTTACTACGACATTGTTTCCCATCCCTTTCCTGGAGAAAGTTACCACCTGTACTGCATGATTTAATCTCTCCCTGCTTCAACACAGCAGATTTAAGCAGCTTCCGGATACATAATGAGTTGACAGTGAATAAAGTAAAAGTATTATTACAGCAGGCTACTAACTTTTGTGTCTCCATTCATTTTTAAAAAGTGGATATTTACAAAAGTATTGATACAGCTATACATGTTGTTTTGCATGCGTGTTCATTTTTACAGATTTTACAGTTTGATAGTCCACATAGTCCAGCAAGGTTCTAGTTACGGAGGGTTAAGGAGGGTCTGAGCTCTTATAGAAGCAGTAAAATCATGCATCTGTGGGGGTCACTAATTAATTTACCAACAACCATTATTTTTAATCATAACTGTATTTTCATTGAAATTATTATTTACATTAATCAGATAAACAGACAAAAATAAACAAGTTTTCCAAATGAACTATGCTGCGCACCACATGAATGTCATTACAACATGATTAATAATGATTAATATGATACCATAAAGGGAGGATTTGCGGTCTTTCCTTGAGCAGCAGTCTTTGTTGGTTCATTTCTACTTTTGAAACTTAACTTAAAAGTAGCAGTATCGCAGACATCTATGGCGAGTAGTGAGCTGCTGTGTGTGTGAGAAAGTGTTGAACTCGTAATGAGCAATAAAGTCTCTGTCTGTCTAGGCTCAAGCTATTATTTAATTTATTAATCTCTGCCGGTAACGTTCATTATACTATAGACCTCCACGAAGCTCAAATTATAACTGTAGTCCAGTCCCCACAGTTGTCAGTTTTTCATAGTAGATTCAGCTGATATGATGATATAATGCTATAGTAGGGAACTTGTGAATGAGAAGTGTGTGTGTGTGTGTGTGTGTGTGTGTGTGTGTGTGTGTGTGTGTGTGTGTGTGTCTTGGACTGGAAGAGAGACTAAGTTACACTCTTAATCAATGATGTTATGTTTTTCTGTGAATGATGTGGCTGGCTGTATGGACGGAGTTAACGTCCTACAGAATAAATCAATAATGCCTGTAAAAAAAAAAAATACTCTTACTAGTTAAGTTATTGAAGCGATATACAGAAGGCTTTGTTGGTACACTGGCACGTTAAGGGCTAAGCAGACAGAATAGGCTCAAATCAATATGTAAGGAATTAGCCTGCTAGTTTTCACTTACAATGTTGACTAAATAATTAAATATAAATCAATGACAAAATCCCTTCCCCGAGAAGTGTCTACATGATGAAATTTTATAAGTTTAGAATGCGTTTTCTGCTTCGGCCTGGTGTTCTGTGTTTAAGTTCAAATCTCTGTTTTTTCCCTGTCTGCGCTTGACTGAATATGACACTGTTGCTTAGATGAAGCCACAGAGAATTATCATAAACTCTTTATAGCCTCTTTTAGCTACTAGTTTTGGTATTGTGGCACATTTACTGTACGGCTTAGTTTCAGTGTTTCCAGCAGCTTTTGTTTCCAGAAGGTCTGATAAACCCACTGTACACACAAATAAAAATCCAGTTTAAGGGTGGGGGATTTCTGGATATTAGATATTGTGCTGTCAGGGCTTGCATGGTCTTCCAAGTCATGTTGCTACTGGGATCAGTGTCTTTATAAAACACAAAAGTCTGACCAGGGATGCCTTTTAGTCATTGAGGAAACACACTACTGTCACGGACCTGGAAAACACTGTGTACTTGTATTTTTGTCTCCATCATGAACCTGGGAACAGATTTTTATCCTTTCTTCCTTCAACTCTTCCTGAGGAGCTGAAAGAAGAAAGTCAATGCAGGAAAATGGGCATTTTGCTGCTCTGCTGTTTACACAATAATGCTGAAAGTGTGGAAAATTAATGGATGGATAAAATACCAACATAATCACACAAGATAAATACTCCACAGCCTCTGTACTTCACCTTTATGTGTGTAGTAGTCCAGTATGTGCTGTGTTTCAGGGCTGCAGCTGGTCTTGTAGATGGCAACTCTGTCCACCCCCAGTAACTGCATCATTTCCAGACTCTGGACCAGCTACAATACAACACAGGTATTTAGTTGACACACTCCATGGACATGCAATCACGACAATGTGAAACAGTCTTAGTTCCTCCATTATTAAAGGCAAGTAGTGTCAGGGGTGGGTGGGCTTGCACAGGCAATGGGAATAGACCAAATGCGGACAGAACAGGCAGATAATGAAAAGTTTAAGGATAAAATTGTAGCCTGTCAGTAATTAAAGCCAATAGTAAAGGAAGAAGCAACATGAGTAAGTTTCTTTTAGTCTTAGTTTAGTTTCTTTTGTTCTTCTGCATTTATTATTTCTGTCTGCTTTGGTCAGGATACTTTTTAAATGTCATGTTTAAGAAAAGAAACCTAATGTGAAATCAGTGCTATGGGACGTTACCTGCAGAACGTTTGTGAAATCAAACATGGTGGAGAGGCAGACGGTGAAGTTGTAAGGAAAGATGACACTGTTCGCCTCCTGGTTCTTCACCTCAAAAAACTCATTGTCAAGTATATCTAAGAAAAGAACCACAGATACATCACCTTTCTTTACTGTACTGTACTCTTATAGTGCAGAACGTTCCTGTAATCATTTCGCAGAGGCCAGTCAAATAGAATAATATGTATCAGGACTAGATATTGATACTTAGATATTGCGCAGCCATTCCAGCACTCCTGGAGCCACTTCACGTTAACTACGACGCCTGTACTTTTAGAAATGATGTCTCAGCTGAGAGTTTCCTTCAGCCCCTTGACATTATTCAAACAAGGTTTTTATTTGAAATCACTTAGTGTATTGGCACACATTTGTTAACAGTTTTAATCATCTCTCTGTCCACTGGCGGTGTCCCAGACTATTTTTAAGCTGCTTATGTTCAACCAGTCCTGTAAAAACCTGGAAGCATCCTTGACAACTGTCTCCCTATTTTAAAAACCACCTTTTATCTGAAAGATCTACTGGTTGCTAAGGACTGGAATAGCATTTATTCATTTTATTTAACTGACACTTTTATCCAAAGAAACTTACAATTGCTATACATGTCAGACGTCACACACCTCTGGAGCAACTAGGGGTTAAGTGTCTTGCTTAGGTACACAATGATGGATGTCTCACAGTGGGAATCAAACCCAGGTCTCCCACACCAAAGGCAAGCATCTTATCTATGCGCCATCACCACCACTAGCACCTTTGAAAAATTCCTGTCTGGTGTCTGCCAACACCATAGTACAGAGACAGCCTTTCTGAAAGTCACCAATGACCTCTTATTAAATGCAGATGCCAGTTTGTGCTCTATTCTGGTACTGCTGGACTTGAGTGCAGTGTTAGATACTACTGACCATGGCATTCTTTTGGACAGACTGAAGCGCTGGGTGGGCATATCGGGAACTGTTCTGAGCTGGTTTACTTCATACTTGTCAAATTGGAAGTGTTTCTATTAACAATTTCAAGTCATCATTCTCTCTTATTAATTACGGTGTGCCTCAAGGGTCAGTTCTTGGTCCAATTTTATTTTCTATATATATGCTGCTATATATAAGTGATTAGCAGATATGATATTTCTTTCCACTGTTGCTACGATGATACGCAATTGTACATTCCTGTGAAGCCCACTGACCTGAATATGCTAGACTCCTTACAGACTGCCTGATAAATATAGAAGACTGGATGTCAAATAACTTTCTTCAACTAAACTCCAACAAAACAGAAATTCTTGTTATCGGTCCCTAACACATCGCTAAACAAATACTGCCATTTATTGCTCATCTGTTGCAACACATCAAGCCTGTTGCTAGAAATCTCTGTGTTTGATAGTAACTTATGTTTTGAGCAACACGTAACTAAGAGATGCGGAAAATGTTGTCCATGCTTTTATTTACTCACATCATTATAAAACGTGTCTAAAATGTCTACAAAAGGTACAAATTGGCTCCCTGTTTGTTTTAGGATTGATTTTAAGATTTATTGATTACTTTTAAGGCTCTCCATGGCTTGGCTCCTGCTTATATATTAGACCTTTTAACTTCTAATGAACTTCTGCGAAATTTGAGATCTTCTGTCTTTTCCTGTGACTAGGCTTAGAACTAAAGGGGACAACGTCTTTTCTGTCAGGGCCCTGAGGCTCTGGAACGATCTGCCTGAGGAAGTATAGCGCTCAGAGTCAGTGTCTTCTATTAAATCTCTTTAAAAAAACACACTTTTATCAGAAGGCATATCCTGATTTTATCTGAGTTGCCTGTTTTATCTTACGGTGTTTATTTTAGTCATATAAAGTTGCTATTTATTTTATTTTAAGTGCAGAACCCTTCAGTACCTTCTGAGTCGTCTGCAGCAGAGGTCACTGTGATATGAGATGGGGTCTCACAGCCTGAAGGCACAGGACACATGATGTCTGCTGCCCCATATTTAAACCAAAAGTGATGGCTGTTGAGGTTGCTGACGCCTTCAGAGAAGTATAGATGCTTCTGACAACAGATATGGCAGAAATAGGTTTCTTCCTTGTCCTTCAGAACCACTGAAATAACACGAACCTGATACCAGAGGACAAGAATAAAGATGTTATTACAACATCAAGGGCAGCACATTAACTTGTAACCTACCTTTTTATCCTTTTTTTTAATTATCCTTTTATTTTACCAGGCAAGTTAATTAAGAACATATTCTTATTTATAACACACATTATCATGGCACTTTCAATTGTGGACAGTGAACAGACTTATATGGAGCATTTATTTGGTCAGAATTAGATCTAAAAGTCTAAAACTGACTACTACTGCTAGAGTAAGGAGCGCTGTCTGTCTGACGAGAAAGCAGGTAAGATATGCTAACATTAGCAAGTTAGCTATATTAGGCTAATTGTTACTGACACGAATGAGTTATGTTATGTTGGTACATGCAGGTTGTATTATAAATTATAGTCCTCCCTCCAGCTCTGCTCACTCAGACTGCTGGGTTTCAGGGCAGTGTGCTGGAACTCAGAGCTCCCCCTGGAGTCCATAAAGTGCCTCCTTTGGGCCGCGCCTCCTCATGTGCATACGCGTCTCAATCCTAAATGGCCAAATGACTAAATGTCCAATCCTAAAGGGGACTGCAGATGCGAATTAGCTTGAAGCTATAATCTGGTACAGTGCATCAAATGGTAACGTTTGTTTTACTGTACGCTCTCTATTTTAAATAAAGAATTTAATAAATACCAAATTCATTTTCGACTTAGACTTTTAGTTTTCGCTCCAGAAGGAGTAAAACTTGGCAGGATTGGTGCCCTGCTCTCTTCACTGACCTCATTGTTTGTTGTGCGGTGCTCCTGATAAGCTGATATCAGCAGTGTCTTCGACTTTTTGACTGCCACAAGAGACCCCTTTTGTCCCTGAGAAACTGCATGAGTGAAAACCATTAAACCAGTTGGTGCAACAGTTGTCTTTCCACAAAGCTAAATAGAAAGCGAAAGGATAGGACTAATAAAAGGAGGACTGTGTATGTTATCACAACATAAGTCTTATTTTCTTGGTTCTGGCCATCAGTCCTATCCAGAATGTTTATTCAGTCCTGTTTGCTAAGAACCAAAAAAACCCAAACAAAAAAAAAACAGAAGCAAATTCCTTGTACGTGTAAACCTACTTGGCAATAAAGCTGATGCTGATTCTGAAGAATAGTAACTTTGAAGTCAGCAAGTTAACTTCTGAGATCTGGCAACACGGTGATAACGCTAAAAAGGAAGACATGAGCAGCAAAATATCAGATGTAAACATCCACTGACTTCCTGACCTGGACCTTTCTGTAGTTAGGTGCACAGTTCCTGTACATAGAGGAATTATTCCCAACATTTCTCAGCAGTTTGTGCAGCACATTAATGCCTCTGAATTATGTTCCCTGGCATCACAGAGACCTTAATTAACGCTTAATTTGACCAAAAGTGTATTAGATTAGAATCGCATACCTCTCCTTTAAGCAAGTGCTTTGAGTGGTGAAACATAGCTATAAAATAGTGTAATCCTTTTTATAAAATAAAAAGCCTAACCCTAACCATTCCGTTCCTGGACCGTGTACTTTAGGACCTGCCATTCACCTTCAGTATTATAAAATGAGCCATGTGTGAAGATTAAGCTAGTGCCATCGTCAGGTACTAACTGGACAACCTAACATGTTCTTTGGGTGAGAGGAACCTGAGCACCTTCCTCCAGGCGACACGTATAGTAGACACAGGGAAAACATACAAACTCCACACAGAACGGCCCAGGACGACCGGGGTTTGAACGCAGGAGCTTCTGGCTGTAAGGCCACAGTGCATTCCACTGGGCCACCCACTAGACCACCACTGACTTACATGCATTTTTCTGATTCATGTAATATACTTCAAAAGTATTGGAACGGTAAGGCAAATTCTTTTGTTTTTGTTGTTCACTGAAGACATTTGGGTTTTAGATCAAAAGATGAGTATGAGACAAGAGTTCAGAATTTCAGCTCTTATTTCCTGGTATTCACATCTAGATGTGTTAAACAACTTAAGACAAACCACCCTTTGTTTGAACCCACCCATTTTTCAAGTGAGCAAAACATGTGACTGACAGATGTTTCTTGTTGCCCAGTTGTTGCCTTTTAGGTTGATTGTCCAAACATTAAATAGCTCTGCATGACTAGTCTAAGTTTTCATCCTCGGTTCAAACCTATAAAGAACGCATTTCCCGTTAAAGAGGATAAACCAACATGAAGACCAGAGAGCTGTCTATGGTCAAGCTCAGAAAAGAAGGAAAATCGAGCAGAGCCATTGGACAAACATTGGCCGTAGCAAGCACAACAATTTGGAATGTCCTGAAAAAGAAAGAAACAACTGGTGTACTGAGCAACAGACGTCCAACAGGTCGGCCAAGGAAAACAACAGTAGCTGATGACAGAAATATGGTGAGAGCTGTGAAGAAAACCCCCCAAATATCAGTAAGTGACATCACCAACGACCTCCACAGTGCAGGGTGAAGGTATCACAATCCATTGTTGGAAGAAGGATCAGCAGGAAAAATCGGACTGCCAGATTATAAATTTGCAAAGAAGTACAGAGATGAGCTGCAAAAGTTCTGGAACACAATCTTATGGACTGATGACACCAAGATTAATCTTTACCAAAGTGATGGAAAGGACAAAGTGTGGAGAAAGAAAGGAACTGCTTATGATCCGAAGCATACAAGCATGGTAGAGGTAAGGTCGCGTCACAAAATCGCGTCAAGCTGGATTCGAACTAACGTGAGCAAAAGGTAACATCTACTTCAAGCTCTTCACGTTACCTGCAAGCTAACCAAGCAATCACAGATAAATGATTTCCAGTCACATATTCATGAAGCATGTCATCATCTAGGTAACACTGTTTGGGCTGATCTAAAACAACTGGTTACCTTGAGCGAAGTAGGTGCTTTTAACGCATTTTACTGTGTTAATTTACTATCCTCCAGGCCCGGCTGGCGTCTTTCTTACTAATTTTACTGACTTTTTATCGTCTATCATCAAACTGGAGGAGGTCCTAATTATTGGGGATTTTAACCTGCATATTGATGATATCACATGCAACACAGCTGCAGATCTCCTATCTGTCACTGACTCTTAATTTTACTCAGCATGTTACTGGACCCACACACATTAAGGGTCACACCCTGGACCTTGTCTTCTCACTTGGTCTTGATATAGTAAAAGCTCGTGTAGAAGATGTTCATGTGAGTGATCATAGCTGTGTGTTCTTTGACATTAACTTTCCTCTGGACCCTCAGCCCCTGAGAATTAGGGCCCAAAGGCGGATTATTAATCATGATGCTGTTGAGAGGTTCTCTGCCTTGTTTGACCCATGTTCACTGATGCAGATGTTTTTATCCAGTCTTTTAATAATCAGTGTTTAGCTATTTTAGATAAAGTGGCAACAGTGAAATCAAGCATTGTCTCCCATAAAAAACCTTGTCCTTGGGTTGATGAAACAATCCAGTTTTAGGAGTAATTGTAGAAAAGTCTATGGAAATCTTCTAAACTCGAGGTTCATAGGCTTCATCTGAGAGAACTAATGGTTACCTTAAACAAGATGCTGAGAAATGCGAGAACTTGCTTCTTTTCTCAGCTTATATCCTCAAATAAGCACAATCCTAAAATACTGTTTGAAACTATATATACACAATAGTTTCTCCTTCTGCTCCGCAAGCAACTGAGTCTTTTAAATCGGACTGTAATGAATTCCTTCACTTCTTTGGAAATAAAATCAGAGACATCTCACCATCACTTTCTCAGAACTCTGCATGTGACCTGTCTCATGCTCATTCTTGGTCCTCTTTTAAACCTGTGGCATTACAGGACATCACCTCTCTGCTACATACATTGAAACCCTCATCTTGTCCTACAGATGTTCTCCCTTCTGTGCTATTTGTATCTATTATTATTATTATTATTATGATTAATACTTCACTTTTAAGTGGTGTTGTTCCAAGTTTTTTTTAAACATGCTGTTGGAGTTTGGATCCATTACGCCCCAGGAGCTACAGGTCAATATCCAAACTTCCATTCATGTCAAAAATTCTAGAAAAAGTTGTAGCAGAGCAACTCACCCTTTTCTTAGAGAATCACAAGCTGTTTGACAAATTCCAGTTGTAACAATTCGCCTTACACTAAGACAGCAAGGGAAGATAAGGTTACAGGTGTTTAGGGGATTACATTCGGCAGCCTGCTTACCTTCGTTGAAGAAGCCCTGCCTAAACCAGATAAGCAACTAACTTGCACCTGTACACACTTACAAAAATTATATATTAACGAAAAAATTCCATAGGATGGGTTTCACAGCGTGTATTTAAAGATATACCAGGTTACACCACGGCGGGATATTAGTCGCTGGAGGCTCAGCCGCACTCCGACGCATCACCCGTTTCGAATGTGGACGCATCAAACCAACATGACAGACATTATCACCGTTTCCGACATACATTCAGTTCACCCTCCAAACCCCCAATGTCCCAGCAGTTCAAATGTTCATTCCAATAACTTAAATCGTCCGGATGGAGCCAGATGTCTTCCGGTGGAAAAAGGAAAAAGGAAAAATACCAAGGTGAAGTGTGGCGAGCCGCCGCAGTCAACAATGTTCCACAGTTAACTTACGCAACCTCGACCCAGTCTGTTTAGCTGATTGGATGATGTAGTAGTCCAGAAAAGTCCAAGCATATGATCCACCAACAAAAGTTCCTTTGTTGCGTCCGTCTGGCAAACCTCACACAGAGCCCACTAAACGCGACTGCTTCCACCTGTTGCGCTCTAGAGTCTCCCCCAACGTCACTTCCGACTCTCCTTTTAAAACCTACCCTGTGGCAAAACAATAATGAGTGGGGAAGAAAAAAAAAATACATAAAAGGTCCTTACAACAATCCGTGATACACCACAGGCTTCTGATATACAGTTGCTTTTTTTTTCCCCACGTGAAGGCACAACCAATACACATAAAGCAGGTTTACCAACACATTAAAAGCTGTACCTGAAGGCAGAATAGGCGACTATTACACAGTCTGGTTTCGGTAAAAAGCATTCCACAGAAACTGTATTACTTAAAGTTTCTAGTGACATTCTGATGTCAGCTGACTAAGGAATACACCGTTTTGATTCTCTTGGATCTGCTTTTGATTCTGTTGATCAAAATATTATGATAAATAGACTGCATGATCTGTTGGGATGTCTGGATCAGTGTTAAAATGGTTCTCATCCTACCTTTCTGGTAGAAGTTTCAGTGTTTATGTAAATCAGATCATGTCTGAAACTGCAGGATTGTCGTGTGGGGTACCTCAGGGTTCTGTCTTGGGACCCATTCTGTTCCTTTTGTATATATTTCCTCTTGGACAGATAATTAGTCAATTCAGTGACATATCTTACCACCTGTATGCGGATGACATTCAAGTGTACTGCTCGTTCAAGGAAAATGAGTTCCACAAATTCTTTAACTAACTGCTTGACCCATATTAAACAGTGGTTATGTGAGAACTTGCTGCTTTTGAACTCAGAGAAAAAAGAAACACAGATTGTTGCCCCTGAAAGTAGAATCCCTCAGATTAAAAAGCATATTGGTGACTTAGGCTTGTCTGTGCAGCCGAGCCTCAGGAGCTTAGGTGTTGTTTTTGATTCTGCAATGTCCTTAGAGTACCACACTAAACAACTGTTTCTTCCACCTAAGGAATGTATCCAAATTAAAAACACTGGTGTCAAAGGGTGAGTTCAAGATGATCATTCATGCTTTTATTTCCTGTCTTTTTACATGTTTGAGGTGCTACGGCTCTACTCAAGCCCCAGAGAATTCTGCAGAATCTCTATTTCCCTGTTCTCAGTTTTGCCTGTGTCTTACCCTGTCTGTCTGCTCTTCCCCAGGTTCACTC